CTGCCGGCGGCCATCTTTGAGCCGGGCACGCGCAGCCCGGCCGGCCGGCCGGCCGTGTGGTTGGCTGTCTGACCAACAGACCTCCCTCCCGACCGCCAGTTGTGCCGTTGCCTACTCGGAGGGTGTGGAGGCGGCCGTGCTCGAACAAGGCGCCTCGCCAAAGCACCGAGAGGGTAGCCGGCAACGGGAGAGCCGCCTCGCCGCTCCGCCTGCGCTCGCTCTTCTGACAGCGGTGTTGTGCCCTTTCCCAAAATGGCGGAGCCGGCTTCGCCCCGCACTAAGATGGCGGCGTAGCGGCCCCGCCCCTTATTGGCCGAGCGGGGCGGTGGCGCCCGGTGTCGCCGGTGTCCTTGCGGCGGGCGGCGGCGGCCGGGAGCGGAGCCATGCTGGGCTGCGTGGCGAGGGCGGCGGTGAGTGCGAGGCGAGAGGGACGGGATGGAGCGCGGGGTGCGTGAGATGGCGGCCGGGCCTCGCCCCCAGCCTGAGGGGAGCGGGGGGCGCGGGTGGTGTCCCCGTGTCGCTGAGGGGTGCAGGCAGGGGATGGCAGCCTGCAGGCCCTGAGGCCCGCCTGGGCCTTGGCATCGCTGCTGGGCAAGATGTCCGTGAAGGTTGGAGAACGGCTCTCAGATCCCCAGGCCCAATCCCAGCCCACCGACACGTCCCTCAGTGCCGCATCTCCGCGGGTCTGGAACACCTCCATGCATGGTGACCCCAGCAGCTGTGCAGGGTGGGCAGCTGCGTCAGTGCAGCACTGCTCCTTTGAGAAGAGACGTTCTGGACACGCTCTGGAGCCTCGATGTCTTTCTAGGGACCCAGAACTGGACACAGCACTGAGGTGCAGCCCCCCAGTATGGGGCCACAGTCACCTCCCTGCTCCTGCTGGCTGCACTATTGCTGATACAAACCAGGGTGCCATTGGCCTTCTTGGCTACCTGAGCACACTGCTGGCTCATGTTCAGCTCCAGATTCTTTTCCTCTGCATACCATTGCAGCCACTCTGCCCCAAGTCTATAGCACTGCGTAGGGCTGTTGTTGCCAAAGTGCAGCACCCAGCCCTTGGTTTTGTCAGAGCTCACTGACACCGCTGTGGATGGCAGGGCAGGAGGCAGTGTAGGATAGCGTCAGCTCTGTGGATTCACTCCATGAGGTGCTTTCTCAGCACTGGTTGCCTCAGGGCTGGAGGGGGCTCCAGTTTCTAATTTAAAAAGACAAACACAATCTGACACTACACGTTGTGGCTGTGCTGGGAATCAGACACCGCTCTGAAATCCATCCTGCCCCCAAGCCTGCAGGTGGACTTCGCATCAGCTTTACACACTCTGGAAAAGGTCACTTGCTGTACTGGAACGTGGCCTGGGAGCATTGCCAGCCTGCAGGCTGGATCCATCCACACACATTGCACTCTGCTGGTGTTTGTTTCCCCGGTGCTTGTGGGGAAAAGGCAGGCTACTCACTATCTCTGCTGCCAGCTGCCTCCTCTGTTGCCAGCTGCCTCCTCTGTTCAGCTGTGATCACTGCTCCTCCTTGTATCAAACATTTGAGTTTGACCTCGATCCAAACAAGCAGAGGACAGACATAAAAGAGAAAACACAAATCTACCCCGTGTTTTAACTTGTGTTTTCAACTAATTTAGTGTGGGGTTTTCTCTGTTTGCTTGTGATCTTAGCTGTGTTTAAAGCCTGCTTCTGTCTGCCCCTCAGTTGCCCAGAGGAGCGTAATAGTCCTTGGGACTGCACCGTGTTGTTGCTCTGCTTTGGAGATACCTTTTTGTTTATAAGGGTTGACAACCCTTTACTTCCCAAAGTCTTGCAATAACGATCATACATGCATGGAAGAAGAGCAGGAAGATATCATCTTTAGCTCCAAATGCTTTCATTTCTGCCATGGCTGGAGGCCCAGAGCTATTGATCGAAGAGCAGTCAGCAGGCACAGACCGGGCAGTGCAGGGCTAACAATCAGTGACTGAGGGAGGGCTTCCTGGAAAGGTGCCTTCATGGCATTTGATGGTGTGATTACCCCCAGCTCTCCCTGACCTGTGCCTGGCCTTGAGCCCTCTGATCGGAGCAGTCATGTGGCAGTTTGCTAATCAGGTGACGCCCTGCACAGGCAGCCCGTTGTCAGGGGGAAGAGGAAACCAAGACAGGCCGAGGGAGAGCTTTACGATCATTTCTGTCCTCCCAGCCATGGATAGCAAGCAGAAGCAAGCAGAGAAGGTACAGTATCCTCATGCTGCCATGATTAACTCCCTTCATTTCTTCCCAGCCCCTCTCTTTTAATACTTGAGTAATTCCCCCTTCTCTTGTTTTTAACCCTCCTTCCCCAAACCTTGATCACATGGTTTTTATCGTGTCCTGCAAAGAGCATAGAGCACTTTCTCTGAGGGCTCAGCCCCATGCAGAAAGCTTTGTCACTTTGCAGATTTTTCTTCTTCTCTCTGCTTAACTCCTGGGAGCTGGGAGGTATGGGGGCACTTATTTTCTTACTGCCTTGGAAAGCAAAAGGCACTTTGCATCCTAGACTCCTGTAGAAAAGGATATCACCTGGTGTGATGCTGTCTAAGGCTTTCACTCACCTGTCTGATCCCCAAAGCCTGTTGCCATCACCCACAATTTCCTGAACAGCTCCCAGTGATTCCTCTCCAGAGGTTCCTATAATTTGAACAGCTCCATACTGGTACAACTGAATAGAGGCTGTCCTAATACTGCTGGGGCTTCCACCGACAGGGAGGTTCACCAGCACAAAGAAGCACTGCCCAAAGGCCAACACGGCTAGTCTTTCCCTGACCATCACTTGTGATAGACCATCCCTGGCCAAAGCAGAGGGGTTTTAATCCTGCCTCAGGCTTAGCTTACCTTAACTAAATCTGCCCCCCCTCCCACCTTCCAAAAGCCTAAAGTGTAATTTGTTTTGTTACAGAGCTCTGCTTAATTTTTTGACCTTCTTCTATTGTGTATCCTGAGAAGCAATTACGTGGCTTCTGACTACCTAAGATTAAGTTTCTTTCATGACTTACTTCCCATGGGATGGAAGTTTGACTTGAGAAACATGGAGATACTCAGCTAGAAGGCACCCAGACAGCAGGGATGTGTTATTATCCTTGCAGTGTTTCCTGCACTGAGATAAGAATCAGGATCCTGATTGATCAGATTTCTCTTGCAGCTTTTCTGAACATCTTACAACCATATAGAGATTAGAAATTGCTAGAGCATGCAGTCATAGATGTGCACCTTGCATTGCTTCTTGTGCTCCGTTGCCCTGATGAGATACCTTCCGAATCTGAAGGGGACTCCCAGACCCAAGTTGTTTGTGACCCCATGCACATCAGGGGGAAGTTCTGTCTTGACATTTGCTTTGTGCTTTACAGGCCAGGCCCTATGGCCTGCTGAAGCCAACAGCTTTAGGCAAGATCCCAGGCAGATTTCTACTTCATCAAGAAGCATTGCCCCCTCTCCCCGTGCCGCCACTTCAGCAGACGCTGGATCGCTACCTGCTGACCCTGCAGCCCATCATCAGTGAGGAGGAGCTGAACCACACGCAGGAGCTGGTGGCTGAGTTCCGCAAGCCAGGAGGTGTTGGGGAAAGACTGCAGAAAGGCCTGGAGAGGAGAGCGAGGAAAACAGAGAACTGGGTAGGTTGGGACTCTGGTCCCAGGCTTTGTGTGGGGGGAGAGGCCCTGATGCGTGCCTCTCCAGTGTCCGCTGGGATCTGTGTTCTTATGGCACTGTCTTCATGAGCAGCCTGCTGCTGGCCTTCCTAAGATGTGCACGACCCTCACCAGGGCTTGGGTCACTGCCCCTGGCTGTGGCTGCTGGAGCCCTTAGCTTGTTGACATCACAAAGCTGGCACTAAGGAGTTGAAGGAAACTTCCTTTTTGAGCCCTGCATCAAAAGCCCCTAGTGCTTCACTCCAGTGCCCCTCTACCATAAACAAAACATAAAACCCAAACAGTCTGTTTGCAAAGTGTGGGGCAGAACTGCGGTCAAGGTGTTGAGAGCGTTCAGCTTGGCTTGGGTCAAAAAGCAGCAGATGCTGTGCCTGCATGTTGCCTTTCTCCATGCCAGCTCTCGGACTGGTGGTTGAAGACAGCTTACCTGGAGTATCGCCTGCCAGTTGTGGTTCACTCCAGCCCTGGTGTGGTTTTACCTAAGCAGGATTTTCAGGATCGACAAGGGCAGCTCAGGTAAAGTCCTTTTCTGCCTTCCCTTGGGCTTCAGATGCGATGAGCTACCTCTTTTGGACTGGGGGTGGGTGTTCAGGCTGACTGGGAGTAGTTGGCATGCTATAGCCTGTCCATGCTGTGCAAGAGGGCTATACAGATAAGGAAAGGCTGGTAGGCTGTAAGGAATTCTGGTTATAAGGTGAAGAGTCTGGTGGTTCAGGCACTGAACTCAAAACTTAAGTTTGTCTTTGCTTGACAGCCCTGACTGGAGGCACTGTGAGGATATATCTGACACACTAAAAGCTAGAAGGCAGTAAGACTGTGTGTGCAACTAAAGGAGGCATGAAGACTAGCCTAGGTGTGAAAGTTTGCTAGTTCTGAGGGACAAGGGAACCTGCTGCAGGGACTGTCTCCTGTTTTGTAATTTCATTTATGGGTTAGAAGACCAACAGTCACCAGTCTCTCTCCACGACCAGAACTTTTTGCAGTTCTGCCCTGCCCTTTGTCGTCTGCCAGTGAGCATCAGTGTCCCACAGCTAAAACCAGCCCACCGCTGCCCATCTGCAGCAGATTCTCTTGCTCATTCCTGAACCAGTGACTGGTTCACATCTTCTCTTCCCTCCCTTTAATTTTTAACCACCATTGTAGACGTGTGTTTCAAACTCCATCTGCAAAACGTTAGCATTGACCTTTACACAGGACTACCTCTTCCCCAGTTACTGCTGCTCCCTGCAAATGAGAAGTACCAACCAGGGCAGCACTGCTGCTGTCAGCTGTATCTGCTCCTTGGATACACCTGACCAGCAGTACAGAGGGTGAGCCTTACAAGGACAACACAGAATTACACAAACACCTCTGAAAAGTTTTGCTTGTATTCACTTTTGTGTGGATAGCAGATAAGACTTGGAGAACTACCACTGTTCCAACCCAGGGAACTGAGCAGCCACACGATAATCTGGGCTACCCTTGAAAATACAGTTCAAAGTGTCTATTTTGTGACTGCATAAAGAAGTTTGATGGCGTAGCTTGACACTGAAGCTTCAGAAATCAGAAAGCAAGTTTAGAAAGTGTTCTTTAGTCCTCGGTCTGTCAAAAGAGACTGGAAACAAGTCAGCTAACAAAGCTCTTCCCCTGAAGCTCTAACTCTGCTCCCAGGCTGTTTCCTCTCAGAAATGACTCCCTGACTTCTGTTTCTTGGCTGTTTTACTTCCTCAGATTTTTCAGTAAGGCTGGGAAATTTTCACTGAAAACTACCTTGGAAGACACGTGCTGTGTTTGTTTAACAGCCCTTAGGTTCTTGGAGTCACTTTGATTTTTACTAGGGATGGGGAGGTTGAGCAAATCTGGATGACACTGCATGCAGATGCCAAATGCTGCTACTACTTTAAAGCCTTTGAAGTTCAGCCGACTGCAACCTCTTGTCACAGTGACCTCCTGCCCCTTTCCTCTCATGCATGGTTCAGAGCTCCCAGGTCAGAAAAGGCCAACTTGTCACTCCCAAGCAAAGCAGTTTGATGTGGCTGGTCACTACGAACTGTTTCTGTTGATCCTAGTGAGCACAACACCTCAGTGTCAGTATGCAGCATGCCTGCATTTGTTTCGGATCCTTCATTGCCAAAGGAGTGCTCTTAGGGCTGCATGAGCAGCAGAACATGAAGCAGATAGGAGCTAGATCAGCATTGATGAGTCCTCAATACAGAGATGTACAGCTGCAGCTTAGCTTGAAACTCAGAGCTGGCCTCTGGCCAGGGAAGGGCAGAAGTCCCCTTCATGTTGTTTTAATGCTAAGACTTGGATGGGACAAAAATCATCACACAGCAGTAGAAAATGCTGCTTTTAGAGGGTTATTTATATATTCAGACTACACCCTATCTTGAAAGTTGTCCAGAATTCCCTTGTTATGTAATAATTAAGTGCTAAAGGGCTGGACTATCCAGCAATCTGAAATCACACCCCCAGAGTGCAGGTGCTCTGTGTTGGAATCTCAATTTGTTACATTTGATATTTTTCCAGGTTTGCTGCAAAGATGATCGAGGGCATCCTGGATTTCAAGACCATGATTGACAAGTGAGTTAGCAACTTTTCTGACTTCTCAGGTGTTCCTTACTGTCACAGAGAGGCTGACCCTAGTCAATAAATGTCCCTTCCAAATAAAAAGCTTACAGATAGCAGCACATATTGAAGAGATACTGTAATCAGCATTGCTGCTAGCTGTCAGGGTTACCACTGCTAAAGAACAAATTTACTTTCTTCATGTTCTTTGTTTACCTTAATGCTCTCGTTGGCATGCATACATGTTTAGAGGGATTGAGCCAGACAGTCTTGTGGAGTTACATACTTCTGTTTGCCCACAGAACAAGTTACAGCTCAGGCTGCAGGAATTTGTCTCTCTCCTTTTGGGTTTCTGGTGTTGCTCATCTTCCAGCTAGCCTTAGAGAAACTCGTTCCTCCCCACTCCCTCTCTTCTAAGCACCAACTGAATACACCTTATTTATGTTCCCAAAATAACATCTGCCAACACATAACCAACATCATACCTTCGCATCCAAAGTCAACTAAGGCTCGGGGCCAACCGTGGAAAGGGTAGTGGGAATATACTGCTAAAGTGGTCCATTGAGGCTCACTCTTAGCTGATGAATCATAGCTGGCCCACTAGATTAAAGCTGAAAACTTCCTTCTGCTGTTTTACTGGAAACAATACATCTCCCAGTATTATCAGGCTCTTAATTCAGCTTAGCAGATAGCTAACAGCAGGAATGGGAAAAGATGAGCCTTTTTTATACCATCAGCACACACGGTTAGGTTTTGCTGGAGGTGATAGTGGCTGCGCAGTGGCTGTCCTGTGTCTGTCTTGTGTGAGGAAAGCAGGCCCTCTCACTGCTATATTTTCTCTTCTATACCTGGATATATCTTCAGTGAGACCCTCCCAGTGGAGTACTTGGGTGGGAAGCCCCTCTGCATGAACCAGTACTACCAGATCCTTTCGTCCTGCCGCATTCCTGGGCCCAAGCGGGACTCCATTGTCAACTACGCCAAGGGCAAGAAGCAATCCAGACACATCACAGTGGTTCACAACTTCCAGGTAAGAGCAGCTCCTGGACTTTCAAGGAGGTTTGTTTAGATGCATGTGTCCCTTTCAGTAAGCTGTGCTGCTGGAGAAAATGGAACAGAAACTCTGCCCACAAGGTTTCCCTCAGCAGAGATTCACTCCTGCTTCCTTTATTCCCTTTGGCTTTAGCTGAACAACAGCTGGGATAGACCTGTGCAAGCAAGGGATGAGGCAGAAACCTCTTTTTCTTGTCCCTGCAACCCCTGTCTCTCAAAGCCCAGACTTAGGAGGCTGGGACTCAAGTTGGAAATTGGTCACAAATTCTACCACTGTAGGCAAATCTAGGAAATAGAAAATCCTTGTGTTTTGGCCCTCATTACCACGGCTTTCAACCTTCTTAAAACCTGGACTGTATTTATGTCCTGCAAGGAAAGTAGGACTTGGTTGGTCTGTCAATTCTGAATGCCTTTCAAAGGTCTGCTTTCAAACTTTTGTTCTTTGATCAAGTTCTTTGATCAAGTCTTACTTCTTCAGTGGCTGCTCATTCTTTTGGCAGCTGGATAATTAAGATCTTCTTCCATTTCCTATGTCCTTGTCTGTTCTCATCTTCAGTTCTTTGAGCTGGATGTGTACAACAGTGATGGCAGCCCCCTTACCACCGACCAGCTCTTTATTCAGCTGGAGAAGATCTGGAACACCTCCCTCCAAACAAACAAAGAACCTATTGGAATCCTCACCACCAACCACCGAAACAGCTGGGCAAAAGCTTACAACAACCTTCTGAAAGGTGTGTACAGTCCCTGACGTCCAAGTGCTAACGAACACTACAAATGTTTGAAAACCAACCTCACTGCTGTGCTCTGCTCAATTCTTTCCTTTGGAAAGCTTTTGGAAACATGTACATGAACTTCCCACCCCAAAGCAGCAACCGGATTTCATTGCAAACTGTTGCTTCATCTGTTGTAGAAGGTACATGAGTGAAAGCTGAAGTTTGGTGAATTAGACCCAAAATCCTGGAGTTTGTTGGGTTGTAAGAATTGCAAATCATAGAATGGCTTAAGTTGGAAGGAACCTTACAGATAATCCAGTTCCAACCCCTGCTGTGGGCTGGTTGCCACCCACTACATCAGGCTGCCCAGGACCCATCCAGCCTGAGAACAGGAAGGAACTGTATACATTCATCTTTAACCCAGCTGCTATCACTTTACATCCCTAAATAATACATATTACACTGATGTACCATAGGGATCCAACACTGCTCCTTCAAACCTTCTCTTTCAGTCTCCATTCCAGTCTCTCTCCACTCAAAAGCTTTTCAACTCCCTTTTCTTATTTTTTTTGTTCCTTTTCTCTCCCAGATAAGACCAACAAGGAATCTGTACGTACAATTGAGAAGAGCATTTGCACTGTCTGCCTGGATGCACCGATGCCACGGGTGTCTGAGGACATCTACATGAGTCGTGTGGCCGCTCAGATGCTGCACGGTGGAGGCAGTCGCTGGAACAGTGGGAACCGATGGTTCGACAAAACCCTTCAAGTAAGTGCTGATCTCAAACGATTCTGAATAGATGAGTCTGAGCTTCTTCCTGAGACTGAAAGGGGCCAAGCAATCCAAGAAACCTTTTGCAGGAAAGCTTCTCTAGCACTGAGTGGAGAAACAGAGGAGATAAGCTGTGGAAGCTGACAGCGTGAGATCCTTCAGTTTCCCTTGCTGTCAACTCAACTTGCTTCAGGGACTTTGCATTTCTTTTACTGCCTCTGCCCACACTTACTCAGTGTAGCTGTTCTTTGTGTTCCTTGTAAATCAATTTTCTGCCTGCGGTGAACAATGCCTTGTCTGCTTGGAGGCAGCCCAAACATAGGGAGGTCTGTTTCTTTTATTTTCCCTAGGCTTGTCACTTTTCCAGTTTCTGCTAGAAGCTGCCCAGGTTTTTTTTGTTGCTCTTCCCACTCCCCCCCAGCATCAGCTGCCATCCCACAGCATCCTTCTGGTCAGTTCTCCATTCAATCAAGAACATTCATGAGCAGCTGCTATTTGAGCTTCCCCCTTATTAGTTCACCTATCCTGGCTCACAGATCAAAGCTGTGGTTCTTTAAAAGATTGCCATCTCTGCTGAGGTCTCCACGTTTTCCATTATTTTGTTCCTATTTGGAACTCTTCCTTGATGGGATAAAGCTGAGATGTTTCAGGTAATGCAAAAGTAAGGCTAAGTCAGCATATGGTGATATTATTCCTGTATTACATGTGCAACTGAAAAAATCAAACCCATTGAACTACTCTGTACTGCCAGAGCACACCAATATAGCTGTCAGGCACACTTCTATCTAGTTAGTTTTTCAAAACTCTTAGCAGTAGTATTAGATCTTTCTAGGCCTGCTGAAAGACTTCTGTGTGTTACCTTTGAAGCATGCAGGAATAGGTTCACTGTCCAGTCTGTTCCAGAGCAGTGAGGCACTAACACCTCTCTCTGGATAGCTCGTGCTTCATGTACTAGTCATTTTCCTTCCTGATCTCTCATAGTTCATCATTGCTGAAGATGGCTCCTGTGGTCTGGTATATGAGCACGCTCCCGCAGAAGGTCCACCCATCGTTGCTATTCTGGATCACATTGTGCAATACACGTGAGTCCTGCCTGCTCTACCATTCCTCAGCTTCTGAAATAAGGAAAAGCTGTTATGGCACCTGTTTCCCCGAGACCATGCCTCTTCACTGCTCCACCAAGAATTTATTCTTGAGGAAGGGTATCGTATGCTAATTGGTGATGGCTTTTCTTACATTTATAATGAGAATTGAGCAGGCAAGCTCACGCTGCTTCCATTTTTAGGGAATGTTACTCTTCAGAGTCAACAGGACTTTTGCCTGGTACCTGTTCCTTTTGGGCAGGAGCCACTAAAGAGATTCCACTCATACTCTTCAAAAATCACTGTAATGGCACTGTGAAGAGTTTTTCAGCGCGTGGCAAATCTCCTGTGCACTTCTGCCCCTGCCACTATGTTTAGCTGAGTCTTGTGTCAAAGGGCTGATTAAACATATCATTTCTCTAAGCAGGAAGAAACCCGAGCTGGTAAGATCACCAATGATTCCTTTGCCAATGCCCAAGAAGCTGCGGTTTAACATAACTCCAGAAATCAAGAATGACATAGAGAAGGCAAAACAGAACCTTAACATGTAAGTACAAAGCACTGGAGAGGTTCTGGTGAGTGACTGAAGGTTTAACTCATGTCCCCATTTCAAACACATCAGCCTTCCTTCCCCCACTGCTGCTAGGGAGTTTTTCCAATGACTTACTGGGTCAACATTGAGTCTAGCTGAAAAGCACACTAATGCCACCTGCTAAGAGGAAACTGAAAGGCATGGAAAAGGGGCAATTGTTTATCCATTCCACTTTTGCTAAGAACAAAGCCTCAGCAGATTCAGCTAGGGACACTGGAGTATACACACAGACATAAGCCCATCTAACTCAGTGTAGATTTTTAGCAATGACCAGAAAAAACTCACCTGCATGTCTAATCAAGCCTGACTGTGATGGAGCTGTCAGTCCCTACGTAGATCCAAGCAGCCTGTTCCTTCTCAGCCTCAGGAAAGCCAGGTTCATGCGTTTATGTTTCAAAAACAAGCAGTTGGTGAAGGAACGCTTCCTCTCTCTTTCCTTGCAGCATGGTCCAAGACCTGGATATCAAAGTGATGGTCTTTCATCAATTTGGGAAAGCCTTCCCCAAGTCAGAGAAGATAAGTCCTGATGCTTTCATCCAGCTGGCCTTGCAGCTAGCGTATTACAGGTAAGACCACCAACTCAGGAGGTAGCTTTGCATCCTCCCCACCTTCAGATCAAATACACGAGCTTGACTCTTCCCCATCTCCAGGATGTACGGCCATGCCTGTCCCACGTACGAGAGCGCCTCACTGAGGATGTTCCGTTTGGGCCGCACAGACACCATCCGCTCTGCTTCTGTTGAGTCTCTTAAGTTTGTGCAATCCATGGACAGCCCTGACAAATCGGTGAGGATTTCAGAGGAGTAGCATGAGAGGACTCCATAGCAGGAAATAAGGGAAAGATGCTTATTTGGCTATGTCAGCTTTTTTCAGCTTTGCAGAACTGCACCTGGTATCAAGTTGAGCTAAAATGTATCCTGGAGTATACAGTTACTCACCTTGGATTTAATTTAGCTTTTTTTTGAGTGGATTGAAAGCTAGGGAAACAACAGGTGGATGTTTCTAATACTCCCAAAAGGAATCAACTCCCTTCTAATAGTTTGCTTAGGCACCTTAAGTTTTACTACTGATGGATGGAGAACTCCACTTGAAATAACATAACGCAGCCAAACAACATCATTTTAAAAATAACACTAGTACAGACACACAAGGCAGAAATACCCGTGTCCTACAGGAATGACAGAAAGGAGGTTAGCTGTTCTGTAGAAAAACTTAAGATGTGTGTGTTCCTTTCAGGACCAGGTGAAAACCGACTTGCTGAGGAGAGCTACCCAGGCCCACAGGGAATACACAGATATGGTAAGTGAGCTCTGTGCAACCATCATTGAGGTTTTACACAATAAATGAATAAAAACAAACAAACAAAAAAATCCAAGACCTAAAGAGCTTTGTCTCTGTGGCACAGTGATGTGGCCATTAATGCTACTGCCCGAATGCTTTCTCCTCTTTAACTAGTTGTTTAAGAGCCCCTTGTGATAGGAAAAATCAAAGAGCAAAAAAACTTCTGTTTTCACTGACATGGTTTCTGATTAATGCCACAGCTGCAGGAAAAAACACCTTAAACCAGAGAAAGCCCATTGGCAGGAACTGTAAAGTGGGTTCCACCAGTATGTTTATTTTCACAGTCTTTACAAATGAGACTGACTCACTAAGGGCAATGTCCAGTATTCTAACTCTGTAGATGTATAGATACTTAGAAAGGTTTTTGTTGTTGGTTTGGGGTTTTTTTTTGTGGACTTTCTGTTCGTGTTTTTTTTGACCCAGTGGTGATAGTGTTACTCACTTTGCTGCAAGACAGGTTTTCACCTGCTCTTCCATCCTTACAGGCAATAAGGGGGAATGCAATAGATCGCCACCTCTTGGGCCTGAAGCTTCAAGCTATTGAGGATTTAGTGAGCATGCCTGAACTGTTCATGGACACAGCATATGCTGTTGCAACACACTTCAATCTCTCAACCAGCCAGGTAGGACTCATTTAAGCAAAGATGGAAGTGGTCTATATTTATTACCACTGTTTCTTCCCCACATTTCTCCCTCGTCTCTTCACAATATTTTAAAACTGCTACCAGCCCCAGTAAAACTGCAGATCTAATCTGCAGCTGCCAGGCCTTCTCTACTCCATAAAACACAAGCATAACCAAGGCTGAGATAACCAAAAGCGTTTGGTGCCTACCTGCACATGGTACCAAGTGGAGTTAGGTGCCATCTGCTGTGCTCCGGGTCTTACTGAACAAGTTCTGCTTGTGACTTATTAGAAGCTGATATCAGAGTTTTCTCCTTTGTAGAGCCACAAGAAATCACACTGCTACTACACAGCAGATTCCAAGATGTGTGTGCTGGCAGGGGGAGCTGAGCACAAGGTTCTCCTTAGAGCATTTTCAGGAGTTTCTTCTACTGTTGACATAGTTAGCCTTTGATAGCTGCAATTTTTGCCTGGGTAGTTAGAAGTTTAATCACATTGTCTCCACAGGTCCCAGCAAAGACAGACTGTGTGATGTGTTTTGGTCCCGTGGTTCCAGATGGCTATGGAATCTGTTACAACCCTATGGATGAACATATCAACTTTGCCATTTCAGCATTCAACAGCTGTGCTGAAACAAATGCAGCTCGCATGGCACATTATCTTGAAACAGCACTGCTAGACATGAGGAGCTTGCTCCAATCTACTCCCAAATCCAAACTGTAAGAGGCAAATACGATGTAAAATCCCCCACGAGAGAGGCTGTCTTTCTTGCACTGAAGTTCCCAGTTCCTCAGAAAATGATTGAGGAGACAGCCTGTCCTGACTGGAATCTAGGAGGGCATCATTTGTTTTCAGCAAGACAGAATCTAATATCTACAGATATTAGAGGCAAGAGGGAGACGTTGTCTAAAGCCAAAGCACAACTGAGTGGTCCTCTCCCATCACTGCTAAGTGCACCTTCCTGTCCTCAGAGAGGACTAAAATCTTTTTATGGAACTTACTGTAACAGAACGTAGAGAAAGCACAGTCCTTACCAGTATCTACATCCATTTGGTGAAGAAGGTAGTTCTCCAGGAAAAGCAGGGAATGTTTATGATATGAGGGGACTACTGCAAGACTAAGGCTTTTTCTGGTTTAGGCTTCTGAAGAGAGCAGCATCTTTGCAACTCATCTGAAGAGTTCTTTTACTGCAGCCAAACATCATCATTGAACAAAGGGGAGAAAGAAGTCAGAGCAGATCCTGTCTTGTTAAGAGTGCACTGTACTACCCGTCCCAGGCACCTTATCATTACATACTTTGCAGCCCTGGAAACGTTCCCTTCTTCTATCTTTAAGATGCTGAGATCTTTCCATTGCACTGACCCAACGACAGTATACTACTCACTACAAGCTAAGGCAGCTTTGTTTGCTTTGTTCTGGGCTTTTTGTTCAAGCTTGCTGTTTGTGGGCCCAGCCCTTCATCTTCAGACTGTGTAAAGCTCCCCCTTCAAAGCTTCCACAGAACTTGTCTTGCACAGGTTTTATGAACTTCAGCTTTAGGTACCTTACCTTGCCCTTTATTGAGAGGAGAAGGAGCTGCCTGTGCATTTAGCAGAATAGTTGCTCCACTGTAGTTTTACCTTGCAACTGAGGAAAAGAAACAGATGCTGACCTTCTGTTTACTAGTCAAAGGGCCACATGCCTATTCTCCTTCAGGGCACACATGTTAAATCTAACATGGTTGTATAACTTGCTTTCAGAAACCATATATTTATGCAGAATGTGTTTGGCCTAAGTTGTGGATAAAGAGGAATATTTCTGACCTGGAATTGCAGAATGCACTTCTGGTTTTGGCTCACAGAATTCAAACCTGTTGGCGCCAAAGGAAAAACAGCTGCAGAACATCCCTTCTTACACACTGTTCTGCTTTTAAGAAACACAAACACTTGAAAAGCAGGAAGAAAGCTAAGAATGCTCAGGCACCTTGAGCTGTTTGTCTGCTGTAGCAGCCGTTGTTCCTGCAGTAACAACACTTTTTTTCTGATACTCTTACATTTTCTTCTTACTGCAGTGTTATTCAGATCTGTGCCATCTCTGTTATGTGGAAGATAATCTTGTAACAGTGCTTTCATGTTCAACTGAGACAGTAGAAGATTATACAAAAAACATCTACGTACAATTTTTGCACAGGAACATTTTCTAAGCACTACTTCCAATCAATCTGCCAGAATCTAAGCTCCCTTAATTTTTATTTAGTAAAACTGAGTGGTAATGAAGAATTCTACTGCTTCTACTGCTATTTCAGCAACAGGAATTTAATGTTTAAACTGCACACCCTTCAAGATAAGATGGTTGGGACATCACAGTAAACAAGATGCATTGTAAATCTGATGGCCTGTACTGTTAGAGCAAAACATTTGATCCTAATTGCTACTTTTATGATCACAGATCTGATCAAAGTGCCTTGGTAAACAGACGTGAGGAATTTTGCACTAAATCAGTTTAGAGAAAAATACTGTTCTCATCTGCTTTGAAAAAGACACAAGTCAAAACTGTTGCAGTTTTTTTCTAGAAGGATATTGTTTTAAAGCTTCATACACCTAAATAAACCTTACAATGGAAAATGTAACTGAAACTCACCTGCACAGCCAGTGATTGTATGAACTGCCACCTTCACATCATTTACATGGATTTAGTTGATCTTTTAGAAGAATCCTGAATGGAGTGCGATAGTCTAAGGAAACAGTGGGAGCACCAAAAACCTGTGAACACACATTCCTGCTCTCTTATTCCTCTGCTGTGAGGTAGACTGAAAATTACAAGAGGATAAGCAGTATTATCAGAGAGTGAGCGACTGTAAATACTACATAAAAGACACCTTGCTGAAAGAACAGCTACTTTTATACTCTTTACTTTGAAAAATGTATTTTTTTGTTTGCCAAAGTAATCTTCCCCTCATGCTGGATCAACATCTGTGCTTGGGGGTGAGTTACTTTCCCATCTGCAATGCCTTGAACCACTGATAATACAGCACTGTCATTTCAGTACTTGTAAGCTGCCCCTTTCTCCTTCTGTCTTATGAAAGGAAAGGGCCTTAAATAAAGTGCCTATGAAACATTGAGCAGAAGTAATGCCCTGCTGTGACTCTATCTCAGAAGATGGGACTGATATTTCCTGGCTCTAAATCTAGATATCCCACCAGCTTCAGCAGAGCGCAGCTGTGAGAAGCAGAGTATCACACTGAAAGACAAGGTTCTTAAACCACTTGATGCATCCTTAATGACGTAAGGAGCTGAAATTCAGATGAAAACTTGCTTTCTGATGTGCTTGAAAGGACGCTGAAATCATTACAAGGTTTCTCTTTAAAAAGAAAAACGTACTTTATTGTGCAGGTTCTAAAATGTGATAGTATTCCAATTCATACCTTCAGTTTTTCCAGTGTAAACTTACTGAATACTGTTCTCCTCTCTGTTTTTGATTGTCTGATTGCTTTAGTGAGAGATGTCGATAGTCTTAAAGATGCATTCAGTACGAGAAACAAAACTTCTGGGAAAACTACTGATTTGGAGCAAATAAAGGAACACATAGACTGAGAACATTCAACAAACTCCTGGGGTTTAAGTGCAATTTATGATACAGCCTGGTAGTGTTTGCATGCTTTGCTGGTTAGCTGTATTAAGTTCTGTTTTGATAATGTAATTCATGTCGTGCAGTTTTGAAATGTTCTTCGAATAAACTGAAACACAATAAACAAGTCAGTGCTACAAAAATACTCCAATCTGCTTCAGTACTGCCGAAGTTACAGTCCTGCCCTTACAGGAGAATGTTCACAAGTGGGGACAGCAAGAACAGTGAACCACGATGTTCTGTCACCTTCCTTTTTATTGTCTTAGAATCTCCATCCAGCCCTTGAGTACAGGGGAGGAACTTGAAAGCATCTGCTTGCAAAGCCATGTATTCCAAAGGAGATATTTTTGTTTCAGAAAACTAGTGGCAGGAGACTTCATACAAGTTTAGAGTAAGGCAGAGCTTGAATCTTTTTCCTGCACAGCACCATTTAGTTAAGAAAAATCCATGGGATTGCTAACAAATTTCTACCATCAAATATTGCAAAGACTTCTGGAAAGGTACAGCAAGAGTAGGTGGAAGATGCAGATTACAAACAAATCACAGAACACAGTCTAATACAGTGTCTTATGAGAGCTCTTCTCCCTGTCACACCCCTAAGCATTACTGCAGGAAGCCTGGGTTTGAAGGCAACATGAAGAGGAACAGCTTTGTACCCAGTTCTGCTCTCCATGAGGACATGTAATCCCTTCTCTAGTTCAACTGCTGCTTCCACACAGTTTTGCCAGCTGGCTTTCAGCTTACAAGAAACTGAAGAAGTGCCATCCACTCCTTAAGCACTTTTCAGCCTTTCCCTTAGGGAAGAACCTGCGATCCCCCTTCTGACTTTGTAAGTTCACTTCTAAGTGATGCAAAGGAAAAAATAAAACAGTGAGTCGTAAGTGATTAGTACCAGCTGTCAGACTCATTTGTAAGATACCACTATGTTACAAGGCTTACGTGATGTTCTATCCCAATTTTAATACAGCAAGTCCAATTCCACATTCCCATGAAAGCTGTAGGATGCCTCTTCATTTGGGTGCACCTTCAGAGCTGATCTAGTGCTCAGTCCTTCAGACGGTAAGAGAAACAGGACCGCTCGTGTTATGCAACAAGTTAGAACAGTTCTTAAACCTGACTCAATGCAGCTTAAAAACAATTAGTTCACTACACAGAGCTACCTAAACAGAGAAATTTAAATGGCTTCATTCCTGAACTGAATCAGGATTGCTACTTTCTACTCTACAGTTAATACTCTGGTTGTCCAACAGTTTGTACAGCAGCCAACTCCTGCTCCTTACAAACACACAAACTCCTATGGCAACAGGCACAGATGAAAACTTAAAAAATAAAAAACTACACAAATGTTAAAAATCAAGATGAACAGAAACATCTCACTTCAAGCAGCTTTATAATGCACGAGTCTGTTTAAAGTGAAGATATTAAAACAGGCAGCAAGACTGAGATGTCACAGTCATTTTACCTCTGCTCACATGACTGCATCGAAGGCACACCGATGACCTTTGAGCCAGAAGCTGTCCTTTATCTGTGAAAGTTCAAGTCAATTGTGCTTTGAATAAATATTTCTCTGTACTTGCACTTGAACTGCTGCATTATATACTACAAATATGGAAAGTGTCCATGCACAGCCCTGAAGCACGTTGAGTATAGCCCTTGCCAGGTTAACTCACGGATGGCTGAAGTCGTAGGCATCACCAGCACACACAGATGGCAGGCACACTCCCACAGAGACACAGCACCCAGAGAGCTGACTAGCCAAACAAAGAATCCAACAGAAGAAGGATGGAAAACAAAACTCGTTTGTAGGAGTTTGGTATTCAAGGTTGCTCCTGCTGAACCCCGAGCAACCCACCATAAGAACTGGCAGGAGTAGCTGCTAGAATAATCCACCACTTGAGTTCACAATTGGATTCCAACAGGACTCTTTAAAAATTCACACAGCAGCTGAGCTAGCTATTAGTTGTTCACCTTATTTGTCTACAGTTGTCATTTTGTTCATCTTTAAAATCCTTCTAACAAAAATAATAATAATAATAATAATAAAATAAAAAAAAATAAAATCCAGTGCTTAAGACAGAAACTAGCAACTGAATTTTGTAAGGCTTTGGGCTGACTCTTACTGGAGCATAGCATTGCTTGTAACCAATGGGTTTCTAGTGCTATCAGTAGCACACCCAGTACAACAGACGCTGTACAGATCCCAACAACCCTGAGGTAATAAAAGAATAAAGGAAGAGATGAAATAAACATGAGATACGTATGGTAACCTTGCCACCTAGAAGAGATTCTGAGAAAGACACCCTTGCTAATTACACACCAGGAGCAGCAGTGGAAAAAAGTAATAATAATAATAATAATATCAGTGTATTTCAGTTTTCCTTTGTTTTACACACACACTCCCCTTAACAGAATCCGTGCAGGCTTCCCCACAGAATCATCACTAGTGTTTAAAAAAAAAAAAAAAATTCAAATCTTTAGTACTTTCTGTCTGTACAAAGTGCAGTTGGAATTGATTTTGATCACCAGGCTGGTTGTAGAAAGGGAAGAAACCCTCCTCTCCCTTCTACCTCGGTCACGCCATCTCAGTTCCCCTCCCTCCTGAGAAATGTTTGAAAACTAAAAGCTCTAATTAACCATGACCAACGGGAGATTAGTTTTGTCATCTTCTTCCAAAATGAAAAACCCCCAAACAAAAAAGCAAAACAAAACACACAAGGCCTCTCCCACCCCAAAAACAATTGCTCCATTTAAAAAAAAAAAAAAAAAAAAGTTTTTATTTTTTATTTAAAAGAAAAAAAAAAAAAAAAAAAAAGAAAAAAGTCACAGAAATGATTCATTTTTGGTTTTCCCTCCCCCAAACATGACACCAGGCATTTTCACCCCTTTCCCCTGACGTAGACATGATGGTACATTCCAACCGGCAATGTGCATCTGTGTTGAAAATGAGTTTCTACTCCTGCACGGTCCCACATGCATCAGGGAGCATCCAGCTAGCTGCTAAAGCAGAGCAAAGGCTTTCAGGTTTTGGGTATGGTCCCTGCCTGTTCCTTTGGTCCGTCTGTTTAAAGGCTCCTCGCTGCTCCCAGGTCTCTGCTCTTGTCTGTCTCTGTTAAAACGCACACTCTGGTCCCCACACCTCCTGAGTCACTGGAGCTTCGTACCCAGCTTGCGCTGTCTGTTTCTGCAACACCACAACAAAGGACAAGGTGAGACAGGCAAACCAGTGGGTAAAAGACAGAAGGATTAAAGCAAGGCTTTGCACAGCTTCACACAAAACTAAAGCCGCCCCCATCACACTCTGCAGGGATTTCAGTCCTTCCTACTCTCTACACAACAGCCGCCATGTTCTAAGTGTGCACAAGCTCACGCACAGATACAAGATTAAAAACACCTGCTTGCAAGGAACATGGACTGGAAAGCTGGCATAACTCCATAAATTAAACACTAACCTCCCCAGCAGACCCACCTTCCACATGCAGTAGTTGCCCACAACTTGGGGTTTCTTACACTGCTCCATCCACAGCAGCCATTATTTTCTAATACGTAAGAACCACATCTCAAGTCAAGCTAGCTACAGCTCTTGCTCCCTCACCTCAGATCACTTACCTTGCTTCTGCTCTTGTGACTGTATATTCAAACCACAGGATGTTAGGAATGAGGCTGGTGTCTCGGATTAAAAAGAACTCTGAAATGGGCCTGAAAATAGAGAAGGTGGTAGAAAGCGGAGAAATCAGATTTGTTCTCTACCCAATTTTGATCAGAATACAAAAGCAAAACAACCCTAATACATAACGACACAGCATAAAATCTGGTTCAAATATAACACTGCTATTCTATTATCCTTCGAGTCTGGGAAGAAGGCTCCTTGTTAAATTCAATCAGAGAAAAGAACAGTTTTTTCTTTCCTCATATAATATTTTTGGACTGTGTTAAGTTCAAATGGCTTTGTAGTCTCACTTGGTTGTCAAACTGATTAAGAAGTTGCTCAAAGAAGTTATGGAGACTCTGCCCCTGGAGGTGCCCAAAGCCAGGCCAGATGGGGCCCTGGGCAGCCTGAGCTGGTGGGGGACACCCAACCACAACAGGGCTGGAACTGGGGGGCCTTTAAGGTCCCTTTCTTCCCAAACCATTCTATGATATGAAAAGCTACTTCTTAACCAATACTCTGCCACAACCCACAACTTTAGAGGGGCCTTACAAATGTGTTTCTTAAATGTCCTCTCTCCCCCATCCATACGTGATCTTTTGTATAGACATGCAGAAGAAAACACAGAAGAATATGTTATACAGCTGTACAACAAAGCCATCAAAGCTGGAACAGAACCCAGGAATTCCCATCTCTAATACTTATAACATAGTTCACAGGACTTTGATCAGCCCATGGAGACACGGCTTAATACAGCTACAACAGCTTTAGAAACTAAAGTGTCTTTGCATTTTTCCTTCAGATGCAAGATACAATTTTTACACTTTTTTTGTACCAGGGAGTTGTACTTTATGGTGTAATCAATTCATTTCAAGAAACTCATTTAATGAGCACAACGGTGATCTAAGAAACGCAGACTTGCAGGAATAAAACCTCACAGAACAGAGACTCACCATGCAGCTATCCTTGGGAAGAGAGGAGTTAGTATCTCTTGTGTGAAGGCAAACCAGGCTATGGCCATAACGCTTCCTGCCACACCTCCATATAAGACTTGGCTCCAGGTGTGGTAAAGCAAATAAACCCTGCAGTGGAAGAGAAAAGTCACCAGGCAGGCATTAAAGCAAGAGTAGGTGCAACTCAAGGCTGGACTCACTCAAGTTCTGAGGAAGTTATCCTCCAGATGTCAGAAGTGGATATTTTACTTCATTTTTCATTAAAAAGTTGACAAAAAAAAAAAAAAAAGTTGGGAAAGCTGGAACACAAACTGTGCCTCCTCTGCTGCAGCAGATTCAGCTTACAATTTCTATGTTGAGCTTAACTGAATAATTCACCACGTATCACCATGATGAGCTGAAGAACTGCCACTGTAGTTCCCACAAGAGACTTCTTCAAAGCCAGCAGCAGAAATCTCCTTCAAGCCACCAAGGCTTGCAGACTTGAAACAGACAGCATTTTTGTCTTAGTTTTGCAGCTCTCAAGTGTGGCAACACACAGGCTGCACAACTACAGAGCACCTACTGCAGTTGCAACCAACCAGAAAGCTGTGTTGATGGTTCCTAAAGTCACCCCTGCTCACAACCTACATGAATCACACTCAAAATTCTTCTCCCCCCACGCATGCAGCCATTAAGATCACCTTAGTTGACCTGCTTTGCAGAAAGATTTCCTCACAAGTTAATCTTTATTTGAATTAGACCATACATCTTCTATGAAATTGTCCTGCCAGTTTTAAAAGCAACCAGTAATAAGGAGGCAGCACTAGCATGCAGCCAACTGTCCAAACTACTTTGCTGTGGAAGATTCAGGCTGGAAATAAGGCTGTATCTGTCTGCTTCCACCCACTGATGCTCATCGTATTATTTGTTAAAGGAAAAAAGTAAATCATTATCAACACTTCATTTTCATTACTCGTCATGTTAACATAACTAAATCTTGCAAGTCAAACAGCTCTAAGTGTCTGTAGCTAATGCTCAAGCATAACAAACAGTTTGACCCACTGTAGCAACCCACGTGCTGCAGATGCTGGTGTGCCAAGCCATGGTGCAATGCTTTCATGATTAGTGCTGGAAAGACGGCTAGGCAGTGAGGCTTGAGCATGGCAATGGAGCCAGCAGGGAGTTGGGCACAGGCTCAGGTGATCTCACAGGTTTCATAAATGCATCTGTGAAGCACCACACACGTAGCACCTTTGTCTCGTTATTTGAAGGGGCTCATGGCAACGCAGCAACTTCCACAAAGCTCTCTCACTTGCACAGTGCAGTCGTAGAGAATTACATCAGAAACAAGGGACAAAGAAGGACAGCTCTGCGGGCTGTTAAAAGCCACAGGGGTGTATGAGAGCATAAGACAAACAATTGCTCCATACCTACTATATGAGACTAGCAAAGCCACTGTGACGAGGCAGATGGACAGCACATGTCGCCATAGTAAATCCAGAAACCTCGCATTGTTTGTTTGGTGCATTCTGAAAGAGATGGAGAGCCATTAGCACAGTGGCAGGAAGCTGAGGAGTCCTTGTCACTACTCTCACTACTTCTGAAACCCTAGGAAAGCTCTGCTCCAAGGGGTGATGGGCAGCTCAGTATCATCCCAGCATCAGTCTGTCCCACTGGCAGCAGTTACACAGAAGCCAGAAAGCCATACTTCTCTCTTCAACTGTTTTCAGGGATTGCTGTGATGGAGCCAGAATGCTCACAATTACCACAACTGATGTGAAAGGCACGTGCTGAGCATATGCAACAAGGAGCTAAGACCTCAGAGTCCTCCACTGCCCATAAAGCTAGAAGGAACAATGAATTTTGCCCTTCACACTTGGAGCCACAAGACAGAGCCATGCCAGCAAGATTTTCAGAACAGCACAGCGCAAAAAGACAGTACTTGGTATGGGAGATGAACTAAAAGGTCATGCAAGTGGGAAGAGGTATTACCTGAGACCACAGACAACCCCAATGACAAAACTGAGCAGATACATGAGAAAGCAGCTCTTCTTTCCTCCTCTCTACTCACCACCCTCCCCTTCCCTCACACTGATGGATCATCGTGGCTTATAAAAAGCAAATTAGGAGACCTGTACCCAGACAGGCATCAGGAAGCCCACCCCTACCCTTCCCTTCTCAGCAGTGGTAACCACAGTCCTACATTCCAATAGAAACACTTCATCCACACAGCAAATTGTGGAGGGCCTCAGATTTAACTCCACTGCGTGCTGAAGCAGCACACAGCAAGGAAGCCACCTACTGGAGGTGTTTCAACATATTAACAGCCAAAACCTGATACTGAACTTTTACCTTAAATAAAGGAACAGAAATGAATAGACAGAGAAAAACCACATGAACTGGGAGTGGCTGGACGGCATCCCATATTTTGTGGTCACTGTTGAATGGGCTTCTGGGAAGAGAAGAAGAAAGAGTATGGTCAAGGTCTGCCCTGTACACGGCAACAGGAACACTCCAAAGGTAAAGCCAAACAACTCCACTGGACTCTGTGCACACAGGTTCACAGGACACATCTCTGCCAGCCTTCTTGCACCCAAACATCCAAAGCCAACACGAGGCAAACAGGAAAGCACCTTCTAACACCCCACAGCTATCATTCCACTCAAGGCCAACCAACCCCATGCCAGCAGCAGGCCGTACCGTACCTTCACAGGGCCGTGGCTCCCGGATAACATTTTTTATTAACCAGTTCACTCCCTCGTTGAAAGCCAGCCCTCCCAAGAAAGAGATCTGTGAAGGCAAGACAACTGTGTCATCCTATTTAAAAAGATTCATCTACTTACCAGGTTCTCTCTGTCGAGAAACCCCCAAGTCATGCATTTCTAATTTTCTTTTTTGACTACCAGTATTACAACCAACAGCTTCCCAATACTCTAGCTGAGGAAGAAAAGCATTTATTTTTCAGTCTCCTTTGTGTATCTGACAACACATTGTGCACACAAAGCTGTCAGCAGATAATTCAGAGGACAACAATGACACGTGTACAGCAATAACGTTTGCACGCTCCCATCAGCAAGCACAGAAAGAAGTACTTTTAAACAGAGCCTGTCTGAAGGGATCGTCTGTCACATTCAGCCAACAGGGGGAGCACACACACCACTATTTGGGCAATTAGCTCAAAGAGCAATTTTTTAGGCTTTCTGGCTCTTCCCCTCTATGAATGTTTCCATCCTGAAGCTGCTGTCTTCAGTCTAAAATGAAATCACTTTCTGAAGACTGGCAGCAATTGCTGTTCTTATCACACAGTCCATCAGCAGTAATGATAGGTTGACGGCCGGACTTGAAGGGTGGAAAAGACCTCCTAAGATCACCATGATTTCCTACAGCCTCTCGAGCTTAAGTCCTACTGCTGTGACAAAATTCCCAGCTGGTGGTGACACTGACTCCTCAACACTCAGTCCTACTTGAGTTTCCCATTCTGTGTCCTGATCTAAGGGCAGCTGGTGCCTCACACCAGTTCACATGAACAGGGAACCAACCTCAACCCTTGCTGCATCACTAACAATCATCCAACAAGTGTTAGATGATAACAATCATCAAAAATCTGTTGATTTTCAGACAGTAGTTGCTCTAGGTTATGTTCAGCTTTGGGCCAGCAGAAGAGGAAAAAAAAAAGTTGGATTGTCTAAATTTAACAGCTGTCTTTCCTTCAGTTTAGGAACCTAGAAGTCCCACTCCCAGGTCCCCTGAGCCACTGGTTCCCATGACACCACGGCCTTGTATCAGGAACCTGCTGCCAAAATCCTTTCAGTGGCCCCATTTTATCTGTTTACTGAGGGCAAATTTGACAAGTGCTTCATGCCTCCTGAAGAGCATTTATCCGTGACATTGACTCCCAACCACCTGTCAGAGCAGGCAAAGCACTACTGAAGAGTCCTTTATTGCTCCCTTGGACAGAAGTGAAGTCTCTTCCGTCCCTGCTATTCAATGCACAGCTGGGAAGCAGCCCTGAGACAGATCCAGTCCCGCAGGAATTTGTAGGTTTTATTTTGAATCTTATTTTGTGCCTCCCTGCTGTTCAGAGAAAGCACATCCTACTGAGTCAGACACCATTTCCTGCACATTATACACCTTGCAAACCCTGCCAATGCTATGACCCTAATGGATTTTGGATCAAGGTAAAAAACCACTATATCCCCCCATGAAACAGCACTGAATCTCAGATATCTCTCATTGATGTTTGTGCACAGATCTGGCTAAAAGATAGCACAGAGTAACAGAACATCAAAGACTAATCTTTTAGCCTTAACAAATGGTAGCATCTCCTGCTGTTGACAGCAGGTCACCTTACCTAAGCTTTTTTTTTTTTTTTCCTCTTTTTTTTTCCTGTTTACAGAGAGCAAAAGTGTGAAAACAGGAGCACCATGTCACAAATGCCAACATTTCTGTCGTAAGGAGAAGCTGGGTAGGGAGAGAAAAACTCACCGTGTGAAGCTCTCTCTTGAATATGATGAGTGTTACAAAGCCAACAATAATGAATATTGGACCAAGACTCAAATAAGCTAAAAGCTGACCAGAGAAATCACCTAGGGAAACAAACAAGAGAAACAAATCAGCCTGAACTTCACAGGTACTTGTCACCAGGATGTGGGTCAGCTGCTGCCCCGAATGGCTGAGAGCAGAGGGGTAAACTCAGCACTGCAGCACGTCTCCATTTTGCAGACTGGCAGCAACTGTGGAGCCCAACGGGAGCTGAGGCAAGGAAGGCAGCAGTGCTCACGTGCAGGTTCAAAAGCGGGGATGAGAGGAGCTTGGCATCCCCCAGCAGAGATTACTGCCAGCCAACTTACAACAGTGACCATGGGTGTGGGCCCAGAGCCACTTTAACCCAGCAGAAGCACAGGCTGCTGCAGAAGAGGCAGCATCTTTCCCTCCCCGCATTCACACTGCCTGCCCGTGCCAGCAATTACCAGAAAACACTCCCCAAACAAATCCTTTCCCACTCCCTTCCTAAAATGGGTTCGTTTTCAGCTGGATCAGCTTCCTAATCTGTCTCACCATGTGTCTGCATGAACACTAGCATTAGCAACACAGGGAGGAAACAAATAGCTAAACACTGCAGATGAAAGGAGGAGGGAAAAAAAAAAGAAAGCCAAGGATTTTTTTGTCAGTAGCCCACTTGTGTCATACAGAAGGGATACTGGGCCTGCACCTCACTAGCAAACAGTGTAGTCATCCCCTGGAAGAATCCAGGAGATCTCACCAGAGGACGTAAGGCACTTCAGACACGTCTGCTTTATGCTGAACTAGCACGGACACAGGAAGGGGAAAGCAACATCGCAGAGCTACGCATCACAACCCAAGTCTGCCCTGCTTCTGTTCCCTGAAGAATTAGATTTGGGAACAACTTTATCACCAAGCAGAATTCCTACACGTTTTAGTTTGTAACGCCAGTGAAATCCAGGAGATTTGCAGGATAAACCCCCAAGAATACTGAGGTTTGGTTGGAGTGAGATTATATTTTGTTCATAACCCGAAAAGTGTCAGAGAACACTCAATTTGGAACTTTTCTTATGACACGTGGCAGGTTTGCTCTGTAGCAGGTGGGTTCCAGAAGCCACCAAAGCAGAACTGTGACCCATCATGGTAACGCAAAGTGGAAGTAGGTGCATCAGCTGCCTACCAACAGAGCATCACGCCCCTAACGGTTTCATATAAATTACACTCCATGAACTGACCTTAAATGAAGAAGAAATTCATGAGATAAGCTACCAGACAACCCAAACTGAAAGCTTTAGGAACACTTTCCAGAAGCCTCAGCTCCAGTGTCATCAATACGGGTTAGTTCCTCACTGTGGAATCGCCACGTTTCAGATCACTCTCTGTAAATCCATGGTACGTAAGCATTTTGGTATTCAAGACATTATTTTGCCAACAGAAACCAAATTATTTGTCTTCTGGGGAAGGGCAGGGGGATGTCTCTTACTTGCTCAGACAGAGGAATACTTCAGGATGTTGCCTTTAATTTAAATAGCATCAGTAACATCATATTGAGGATCCTCCATGATGTTATCACAGAGCATTCCCAATAAATCAAACCACCAGCACACACTTCCCACCTGAACCCAATACCACAAATCAGTCAACACTTAACTGCCCCTTTAGAACAGAACAGAGACGGTACCCACAGCACCTCCTATTGCTGTGGCCAACAATAATCAAACAGGATCACGTTCTGAAGCTGCTCTTTCTAGATGAGGTAACAAAATAGCTATGCATTAACTGAAGCCTGTGCCCTGCAAACCGCACCAGAAACTCATTAGAACCATCATAAGAGCACTCGCTAGATTAGCAGGTTAAGGCAGAGCTACGCTAACTGAACCAGCTCTGCAATGACTGGAAGCGCAGGCGAAGGAGCTGGGAGAGCAGGGCTGTGCTGAGCGCTGCTCAGAGCCCCAGGGAATGACAACTTGTATCACTGCTGCCCACTCTCACGCTCCAGCACACTCAGGGAACTCTTCCCAGGGAGCGGGGAATGGCAGGAGAGCCGGCAGCTTCACATCCATCAGATCTAGCAAGCAGGTTCCATGCTGCCTTTTATAAACAGAATTCCTCAATTTCGCTTCAACTTGAGAACACAAAGCAATGCCTCCGACCAGGGAGAGCACACCTCATTAGCAGCACCAAAATCTCTGGAAACTGCAAGAAAAAAATATATTTAATACACAGCCTGGGTTCTTATTTGTTGTGGTTGTTTTATTTTATTTTATTTTAAGTAAGTCCAGCATCATTTAAGGAGGAAGATGAAAAATAAAGAACCTAACTCAATTATAGGCATCCAAGGGATGAACAGAAGGAACACCACTCACAGCTCAGAAGTACACCATTTCTTCCGCCTCCATTCAGCATTTACTTCTGCTCTAATTCAACATTTTACCCAGCATTCTGTCAGGGGAAACACGCAAGGTTTGCCACACCAGCTCAACCTGCACATAAGAAAAATGTGAATCAACAGCACTACCCACATCCTACCACAAGACCTGGCTTTACCACCACAGCTTCCTATTGAGGCATCTCCTTGTGGCACTGCTGCTGGTCTACGTGCAAGTTGCACAGACAAACACTGTATTTTGTTTCACGTGCATTGACACCAGTAAGAATTCATGACTGATTTCCATTTCCTCCGCTTGCACACATCCTGCTGTCACAAGCTGTGCAACAACACAAATATTTTCAGGAGGCTTTAAACTACACCATGAGACACACAGACATCAAACTTGGCAGAAAGATTGAACGTAAAACCCAGCACTGAAGAAACCAAATCATCGGGTTTTAAAGAAATACTGAGGTGTGAAATGAGCCCCAGCTGGTGAGCTGCCACCCTCAGCAGAAAGCAGGGCAAGGAGCTGCAGAGCAGACATGCTTATAGGGGCATCGCAGGCTGACTGTCAGCCAGCTCTGCACACTTGCCACTCCACCTCTGCCTGACAATAGCAAACACCTAAGAGAACACAGGAAGATTCTCAGTCGTTCCGCAGAGAAAGGGTTTGCCACTGCAGGGTTCTCTCCTCACAGCTTGTCAAATGTGAAAAAGACAAGTCCCAAAGCTTTAAGGATCCCAGCTGCACTGAAGGATTTTTTTTTAATCCCAAACAAACCAGAATCTGTGATTCTCCACCAGTGAAACTCAACCTACAGGCAGGAAGTCCCTGAAGATGTGTTCTAAGTCTGCAACACAAAGTCATCCCATGCAAAGTAATGCACACGGAAAAAAAACAACCCTAATGATACACACACAGCAGTGGGATTTAGTTCAGTTAAAAATCATCTCTGGCTTAGCAAGAGCCAACACCTTCAGAGCAGCATCCAGTGCACTGGAGCAGTCCAGAAACTGAGGAGAACATTTTAAGAGCCAGAAGTTACTGATCTGAAATTACTAAAAATTCTTACGTGATTCTTAATGTAACGTAACAGCAAACACAGCAAAGGCAAATAGAAAGTGGATCAAGATAACAGAAATGGAACAGCAGCCACTCATATCAAAGAACTCCAGTTTTCAAGTGAAAAGGAAAAATAATGCAATAGCACTGGCTCTTGTATGATACAGAGAAATAGCAAACATTTGTTACATCTCAGTGCACGTGAAATAGAGAGCATTCAATGAAATTACTGAGCAGTGAGCTTTAAAGCAGAAAAAACATCAAGCTCAGTGCCACTGGTACTGCAGAGATCCAAAGTGGAAATGGGTCCAAAGAGCAATTAGAGTATAGCTTTTACGGACCCATTAAAGGACATCACAATCCTGATGCAATCACCAGCTCGTTACTGGAAGATACACAGAAGAAGCATTACTCCTGCCCACCTGCCAGGGACCCGACACTGTGCCAAATGATCCCTTGGTTTCACAAAAGCACAGTCGCTGCTATGAAAAGTGACAGCAGGATGTTTTTAAAGACCATCCCCCCAAGAAGCATGCTTTAATGCATTGTCAAGTAGCACTGCCATTGTCTGTCTTTTCACTAGCTTTGACTTTGATGTTTTCTATCAATAATTTTTCTGTTAGGTTCTCTAAAATGCCGTTATTCCATCTGTTTGCAGATCATTCTAGCAGAGCATTTATCTGTTGTTCCTCAAAGCTGACACTGCAGAAAGCTTCAAAGACTGTGCAGCCACCCCAGCACCACGAACGACCATCTGAAGTATCTGTATTGACAAGGAAACATTAGAGAGAGGCAGGAAAGATGAGCATCCTTCTGGACACACCTGTCCCTTTCACAGCCACTAGCAGAAACCCAAGAACAGGCTTCCTTTGTCAGACAAACATCAGCAAAGACCGATGTTCAGCTGATCACAGTGGGAGGCCACTCACTGCAGACAAAAGCTGGGGCAACAGCAGCTCTGTGCTGAAAGTCTTTAAAGACAAGAGATTTGAAGAGTCAGTTGCCACCGTGGCTCAGCTCGCTGCATGCCAGGCCAGCAGCCCCAGGATCAGCCAAGAGCAAGAGAGTTTGTCACACGACAGTACGTGATGTGCCAAGAGAGTTTAATAATTTATGTTGGTAAAAGCAGGATCTATTTCTCATTCTGACCCCTCTCTGTCAGCACAAGGTTACATCAATTCCACCGTACTGAGCATACTGCTCATCATTATTTTATAAATATATTATCTAGCAGCTTTAATGGATCTGGATTTAAGCCCTACACAGACAGAGCATAACAGCTTTCTAAATAAAGTTAGAGCACTTCTTCTGAATCCAAGACTGACCATCTTATTGCAAAGCATTTTTCTAGATCAGCATGGATGAAAACACTTCAGTACCTAGACATGTTTTAATCTTTCAGTCTTCTGTCTCTGTTTTTGGGCTTCCAGAATCACTCATTTGACCCAAGCCTAGCACAGCGTTCTTCCCTGTAACACACAGCCCTGAGCTGGCTATGATTTATCTGCCCCACACAATCACCTCCTGCACTGGACTGTAAAAAAAAAAAAAAGCAGTCAACGATGAGAGAAAATAATCACATTGTCACATTCCTCCAGGGTCCCTTTCCCACTCAATGCCCTTTCCATCACAAACTAATCTATATGACTCCTTAAGGTCTGTCGGGCGACCCTTACACTGCCAAACCTGCAGATTTCAAACACCCTCATTTCCCACCCCTGCCCAAGGAGGAGCACACAGCGCACTGTGCACTGTCAGGTTCAGGTAAAGAAAGAAGACAGCGACGTGTCTGTGCTATGAGGAAAGATTCCCTCTTTTCCCCTTAGCTTTCACAGTGGCACGCTTGAAAAGCAGGTTAGCAGAAGAACGTAGGGGGTGAAGGAAAACACAGAAAAGGAATGAATGATCTTTCATGCACAACGTGGGGAAAACCCTGCAAACAGCCATGATGGGGAGTGCACAGGAGCTGTGTTCCTCAGCGCTCTGTCACACATCTCCCAGCTATGCCAGCACCTCCAGCCCTGCGGACTCCAAAGAGCTTCAGCAGCTTTCAGTACTGTGCTTCTGAGGGCAGCATCAGGAAGCAGAGCCCTGCAATAAGGCAAGCCTGGGGAACAGTGAGATGAACCAGCAGCACTAACACCACCTTCAGACTTTGACCAGACCGAAGATTAGTGGAGACTAATGCCCTGACACTTCACGTGCTACTTTACTTTATTTTTGGACTACGAGCATGAAAAAATAAAGTCTCTCTGCCTCAACACAGCGCAAAGCACCTGAAGAGCCCCCAGACCCACCCGCTGCCGCGACACCCGCGCTGTGCACAGACGTTTACCGCCGCACACTGGGACCTCAGAGCTTCACGCAACCTCACCGAAGGGCGGCGGGGAAGGCGGGCCGGGCCGCAGGGCCCTCGCATCGCTGTAGGGACGGGAGCTCGCCCCCAGCCCCCCTCACGGCCCCATCCCCGCAGCCCCTGAGGCACAGCGCCCCGCGCAGTGCGCATGCGCCGAGTCCCCTCTCGCGGCTCACTATCCCGCAGCAAGCTCCACTGTCCCCCAGCGCGCACGCGCGCCCCGCCGCCTCCAGGCGCTCTCTCAATGGCTCACTATTTGGCAGCCGCCAGCCTGGCCCTCAGAGGTACCGTGGAGCGGCGGGCGGGGGCCGCCCAGAGGAGCAACGCAGTGAGGACCGGGGAGGTCGGGCGGGGGCGAAGCGGAGCTTTACCTGCGGGATACTCGACGTGAGTGAGGGAGACCGGCCGCCACGGAGCGGGGAGCGAGCACTCTCCGACTGCGGCCATCTTACCCGGATACCGGGCCGGGCCACCACAGCCAATTGGAGCGCAGTTAAGGGGCGGTGCGACCAATGGGCGGGGGCGATGAGAGCAGCGAGCCAATGACGATGACCGGCAGGTGAGGCGCCGGCCAACCCAGAGCCACCCAATTAAAAATCGAACCCGGGGAGTGGCGGAGCCAATAGGCTGCTAGCATCGCTGCCCAATGGAATGGGGGTGCAGGTAGCCGGAATACCAATCGAGAGAAAGGCGGGCCTCAGCATCCTCCCTCATTGGAGGGAAGAGCTATGCAGATTAGCCAATCACCAGCTTCCATTGCAGCCCTCTCTTAGCCAATCGGCTGTGGCGGTTGGCGCAGGGGGCTGAGGAAGGGGCTTGCGGGCGGGGGACGCTTAAAGCGGCCGTGTGGGGCCTGAGGCGTTGCGCCCCGCTCAGCTCCTGATGGCAGCGCGCGTGGATGAGGAACAGGCCGTCCCCTGTGTTGTAAGTGAGATTGCTGCAGCTGCACTGCATCATTTCACTACTTAAAGCATAACGTTTCACTTTGCACTACGCGGACACCAGCTGTGAGCTCTGCTGAAAATTCCTTTAGTACTGAAGACCCAATCAAAATGAACGGTCCCGTTATGTGGTCACAGAGCTACGCTTACCTGGAGAGCCCGAGGACAAAGCAGGACACACAGAGAAGGGAATACAGACAAACAGAGCTCGCAAAAGGCAAATATACCTCGAGAGCAAGCCAAAGTTAATTACAGTTAAAAATAAATATTAAAAGTGCTCAAGAGCAGTGCAGGAAGTGACACACAGAGGCAAGAGGCAGGGGATGGTTTGTCTTCTGTACATCAGGACTGGGCTATCCTGGCCTGAACACATTTTTTCCTGCGGTTTTCAAATAGCAATTGTATCCAATTCATTTTAAAAGCTTTTCAGGTTGGCACTGATCTTGTCGTAGCGAGAAAAATAGCATCGAAGACTCATTATTTTGGAAAGAAAGAAAATATTTACTGCAGAAGTTCATTTCATTTCAGAAGAGTGATATAAGAGAGTGTGAGTGATTTACTGCTTTCACTATTCGAGCTAAATAAGTCTCCTCCTTTCCCAGCTCTTGAATATAGAGTTGTGCTGGCAGAGTGGATTACATTTGATCTATGTACCATGACAAGTACTGAAAATTGTGGGCTTCATTGCTGCGTTCACCCACTCCTTCCTGAAGATAAGAAGAAAGTGTCAATACAGAGAGCAGCCTTTGCTCCGTTCCATCAGCATAAGAAAGCACAAAGCTGCTCTGAAGATGTCATGAGTATACAGTCTGACACCATGGAAACCAAGGTAAACCCTTTTTTAACTCTTTCAGCTAACATGCTGGGTGTGGCAAGAGACAGAAGTTCTCCTGTTCATGAACATTTTATTTGCATATATCACAGTTCATGACAGGCTTGCATTAATGCTAACAGAAGCTTCTTTTAAGCATATGGTTGAAATTTCAGTCACCGTGGAAGCAAGCAACCTATGTGATTCAATCTATTTTCTGTGTCATTTGAAAAGGAAAGTATTTAAACACAGTGCAATTGCCTCAGAGGAATAAGATGAGTTTGCTGCATTGCTCAGCAGATGGTCATCTCGAATATCAGCCCACAGTCTTTACTCTGCTTTTCTTTCACATAGGCTGGGAGACTGATAAGGATACTATAAGAAACCTGGACAGTGTCCAAAAGATTCTGCTCCTTACTGAGATTATCTGTTATCACAATCACAGACAGCTATCCTATGCACACCACATGTAAACACAATCAAACCACCAAGAGAAAAAGACAAATCTGAAAAATGAAACCCTGGAGTTTTCACCTACTGCTCGAAGTACAGTGAGTTGTCATGTTTATTTTATAGCTTGTTGGATCTCAGGGTATAGACTATTGAGTAGAATTTCATACAAACAAAACTGTGAGAATTTACTTGCTCTGACTTTAGCATTTTGACTCTAAGACAAAGGAACTCTGCTTTATACTATTGCTCTCCTGTGAAGGGTGTTGTCACAACTGCCACCTGTATTGGAAACCAAGGTACCAGTTTCTAGCAGGTTTCTCTAGGTAGTTCAAGAACAAAAACCAAGATCGTGAAGGAAAGTTTTATTTGACTTATTCAACTTGTAATGCCCACATCCTAAGATAAGAGGTATTAGGAAAAAAAAAGAAAAGCCACAAAGCAAAAAATAAAAAAAATAAAAAAAAAATAAAAGGAAGAAGCCAAACACAGATAGATATTATTTACACCTTTAGAACATCAAGAAAAAAAAATAGGCACAAGTTTACATTCATTAGTTTCAGATATGGCCGAGAAACGTTCAACTGAAGAGGGGTAAATAAAATCCTGCTTTCCTCACATCCTTGCCTAAGACAGCACAAGTCATGCTTTTCAAAGCCACACTGATCTTGTACATAAAACAAGGCAAATAATCCTCATTTTTAATATGTTTTTGCTTTAAAGATCACAGAGCCCCTCCTAGAGCCATTCAGTTTAGTACATACATACTGAAGCACTGAGTATGTGCTTTGAGCGCTAGTGAAGCTTGTTACAATTCCCATGTAAAAAGTGAGAGTCATGCAAATCTGTTTAAGTATCAGAAACTAGTAAAGGATTTTATTTCATAGCTGCTAAGCCTTTCAAATCTTACAAGTGTCAGCAGAGAATGATTTAACCCTTGAGAAAAAGGGTGCATTATAAAAGAGGCAAATATCTCTCGAGATCTCCCCACATACATATCTCATCTACTACTAATACTGAAGGATTCCTTTGCTAAACACAATATGCTAGGGGAAGAAACTTCTGCTGTTCCCTTACAGAGCTGGAGGCAGACAGCTGCTGAGGCATCACCTTCTGCTGTGCCCTGCGAAGCAGGTGAATGTGACGTGGTTGCCGTTTCAGCCGAGCCCTGCTCTAGAAGGATCGGTGGAAACAGCCCCAGCGCCTCCAGCTCACATCCAGAAGGAACTGAATGCAGGAGGGGGCTCCCCTCCGGTCAGGGCTCTGAACCCACTGGTCTCAGCAGTACCGCCTAGAGGTGCCGAGAACGTTTTGCACTTCCTCCAAAGCCACACGGGATCAGGCAGGAATGACATAGGAGCTGTGGGGGTTGGGGGATGTAGGAAAGTGTAGCATTCTCCTCAGGCAAAATAGTTTGTCTCAGCAAACATACTTGGCTTGAGCAGGAACGATTTAGTGCTGGCAGGTGGAAGGGAAGAACTCAAGCTTCAGAAAGCTGCAGATGTTCTTCAGGAACATCCATCTTTACCTTCCCTGCAAGGGCAGAATATCCCACTTGGAATAAGGGCTAAGCAAGAGAATAAAACTGTAATAAAACTATCTTTCTTCCATGTCACTGATTAGGAATTTACAATTTCATAGTTTAAGAAGCTACAATGCAAGTTAGCATTTGCTTCACAAGGACCCTGTTGTAGTGTCCTCCCTTGTGATGTGAGCCACCAGTGGTCTCACCCATACACAAAGCAGGCAGGCTGCCCCGAGCACCAAGGCCTAAAGGCACCCAAAGTAGTAAATAAATATACATAAAACACAAAAATCTGAAATGAATAGCACTGATTGTTTAAATTTACAGTCCATCTTTTTACATTGAACTAAACGTTTTAGCATCTTTAAACCACTACACAAAGCTGCTGAAGTTACTCTGTTACAAACCTGCCATACAAGAGCATAAAGCACTAAAGTATTTTTTGGCAAAGTAACTTGCTTCCAGAATTTAACATACATTCAAATCACAGTGTACATACAACAGGTGTGTCACACTAATACAACATCCTCTATTTTCTCACAGTATATTCTGCCAGAAGCAGGACACCTCAGAGACCTTTCCTCATTTCATTTGCTCTCTTAAATCCTTCCTATAACAGCTTATTTAATACAGTCTCACTCAGGTCAGCTGCTCCTTACTTCTGCTTCAATGTTGTCCTGTTTGTTGCATTAATCTTGTCTCCAGGATAAGCCACATCAGTCTGATGTGTTTACAGAACAGATGTTACGTGCTCTACTCTTGCCCTCTTGCAAGCATCCTGGGAGCATTATTTATGCCTTTTACATCCTCATGTTTACTTTTTCTCTGCTTACTTCCTGCCTTAACAACAGAATCCACATTAGGTTTCTGAAGAGGAAGAAAAAATTTATTCTCCAAGTGCACATACTGATTTTCCATTCCTATGGAAACTCTTACATTGTACTTCTTACATTCTACCTCCCCTCCCTGCCGTACTGTGGCTGTCAGACTTGCACTTTTACCTGGGACACAAGGAATAACAAATCTAGGGGGGG